GCGCCATGTGAACCACTGGCCATGGAAAAGCGAGAGAACGTTTCATAATTATATGTTTGCAAACACTGTGTGCTTTCACATGTGTGTTCTTATGCCTGTGCTCTCAAAATATGTGCTCTCATGCTCGTGTGCTCACTCATGCCCGAGCCCTCGTATGTGTGCTGTACGTTTGTACTCTCATACAGTTTCGCTTGTTTCGTCGACTATGTTGTGTCAACTATTGAAGTGGGGATGCAGCCCACCGTGACCAAAGTTGTTTGTTGCCCCGCGGTTTTCATGCTCAGCCATCCAGTAAAACTGTCATGGATCAAGATACTCCACCAAAGGGCTGACCAAAGGGGTGCTTAATGGAGGTTAGGGGTGCCCATAATCCACTCACTTAGGGATTAAACACCACCTACTAAACACCACCCCTTTCTAACTCCTGGATTTATTTGTTTTTCTGAGGCTTTGGGCGTCTGACACCTTCCGGTGCCCCTTCTCGATCACGTCTACGGAATCTGCACTTCGAGGTTCACAAAGATCCTGCGCCTCTACCACGAAATCTGCCAATCACCGTGTGAAAAGCTCCGGTTTCAGAGTGCTTTCCCTCCCCTACAAATCCAAGTACCTTCTCAGAAGGTGTTTGGAGACACTGTTCTGTAGGTGCCAGGAGGCTCCAAGTACCTTCTGAGGTTCGGTACGACTGGATCCCTAGGGCTCTATTCCAACCACGCCTTTTCAAGGTCCCACCGTTCCATCTGCCGACCTACCACGCTCTCAGGCGGCCGGCCGACCTGCTGCTCCGCTGCCCTCCGGGGGGCGGGGGCCAATGGATCGAAAGGGGTCGGATCGCTGACGTGAGCGGGGGGCATGGTCGACCAGTCAGACATGGGTTGGATCAGACATGTGTTCGATGGGTGGATCCACCAGTCAGACATGGGGTCAGAATGGCTTCGATCAGTCAGAATGGGTGTTCATGATTTGTTTTTCGTGGTGATTTATGTTGTTCGTGGTTGATGTTTTTCTGCACTTCGGTTCTGGGTCTCCAAGAAACATTTTTGTTGGCCAGTTGTCCCTACCAGCCGCACTAGTCGGTAGGATCGTCGGGAAGCAGATTCTGGCTGGAATCCCTCTTGGCGGCTGTGGCAGAGGGTTTGGAAAACCGTAGTGTTCGATAATTGTTGACATTTGAACGGATTCTAGGAATAGAGATATGTGTTCTTGTGGTGTTGTGCAACTCATGGTGTTCTTATCATTCTTTGCAGAGGGGTGTTCAAGGTAGTCGTTTCTAGATAGAATAACTGGAGACCCGGGACCGTTTTTAGATGTTTTTGGTGAGAATCAATCACCATGTTCTTGTAGGTTTGTGGGTTGGTGTAACCAAACGCAAACTCTTGTCACCAATCTCAGTTTAGATGCGTTCCAAAGACACGTACTCCTTATTTGAGCCACAAGTGCTAACTTGTATAGAACTGATTACATGTCAACCCTCCATATATATGAGATGAAGAGCCTTTACAAGTGATGTTTGGGAGGGCCTTACAGGGCCTTCATGTAGTTGCAGAGCTTGTGTCGGATCACCAGGGACCCCGCGCTGCACGTGGCGCCAGGCAGGACGATTTCTTCGACGACTGGGATGCGCAGGCGGCAAACTGGCGTCGTCCCGAAGCGGCGAAGCGCAGACCCGAGGACGAATCCATCGAATGAAACATGTGTTGGAGACCATTTCATTGGCTAATTGAAGGGGGCCATACTTTGAAGTAGAATTTGAGCAAGTGGCGCCAGACGTCGTAGTTTCCAAGCTGTTTGGCGCCATGCGTCAATATGAATGCGCCAGCAGTCCTTGGCGCAGCGGTCGTTCTCTGAGTCTCAAAACCGTCTTGAATTGGGGGTCGTGGTGAAACTGGCACGTCAGCCTGGTAGCGAGTTTACGGTCGTTAGGGTGACAACAGTTTAGATAAAACTCTTTCAGGCGAAAGTTTTGTAGCGTAGGCAACTGACTTTATTAGACTTCCTGAGCGAGTGTCCATCAACATCCAGGTAGGTGTTTCTCACGGTAAGTGCATCGAACAAATGTAATGTACACATGCCAAAAAAAGTTGAATCTTAGAATATAGAATGGATAACAATTAATGGTAGGGGGTATTTGCTGGGAATTTGTTGGACAAACCAATTGGAGCATTCTGGTATGATGTTGCTCCAACTCCCAGGTAGGCTATGGATTTCGTGGAAAGGGACACCCCGAGTCGTATACCCCAAATATTGCTTCTTAAGGGCAATCTGTCCACCCTCCAAATAGTTTCCATGCAACAAATATATAACAGGAGAGGTTGAAGGGAAACTCAAACAGGAAACCCATGGTTCTCATCCTCAAAACGGATGTCCCTTGTAGAATTGTTCCCTTTCAATTCTGGATTCTGGACCAAAGAATTTGGTGGCCAATGGTGGCCATACAAAAAACATCAACAAAAAAACACAACAGAACACTAACTAACTGTACTATGGAAACACTGAGACTCCATGGCTTGTCTCCCACAGTGCCATCCCCAGGGCGCCGGTGCCGCACCGTCCGCGGCCTCGAACCGTGTGGTTCCGCCGCCCGGGAACTCACCACTGCTGCGGTTGGTTGGGACGGGCCTGTGTTGGTTGGGACAGGGAACCGGGAGTTGGGTTTCCACATGAGTCAAGCATCGAAGGAACCATTGACCAGCCTTGGAGTGACATGAAAGGGACCAATAAGGTTCTGGTCTATTGAAAACAAAGAAGGGAGCTGTAGGACACTCTTGTCGGACACTCTTGTGGGACACTCTTGTGGGACCGCCGGCAGAGTGTCCCAATCCAGCACTATAGCCGAGGTTGGCAGGCACACAGACAAGGTGGACGAGGAGGGAGCACGTTCGTTTTCAGAGCACAGTCGTGTTCAGGACCAGCGCAGTCATGCCTCATCCAGTTTGCAGATCTTTTCCAAAGCAAAGGCTACAGCAAAACCGGTGCAGCCGGTGCCTGTGCCAATTTGTGCAGCACAGCCGCCTGTGGTGAGGCCGCCCAGCATTGTGGTCATTGACGAAACATATTTATCAAAAAGAAAACAGCGAAAGGCGGGCTCCGTGGCCACGCAACGGCTGGAAACAAGACCATTGTCACGGGCTTTCTTGACAGGAAGGCCACAGGGAATTGTGCTCATCGAGATTCCGGACAGATGCTGTTGAAGGTCTTTTCGGCCGATTGAAAAAACACTTTCGCCAGAGAGGCTTGGGCAGAGTGGGCAAAAAATGCCTTTGGACACCAGATCATGTTTTGGCAAAGATGCTCAGCAGCGAAAGATTGAACCTCTTTCAGCTTTCTTTACGATTGACTGGCAGAAAAACCATTCCAACAATCAAGTCTTTCAGCTTGCACTTCAAGAGCGCATCCCCCAAGATGTCTTGGCAGATTTCGCCCCAAGGTTGGAAAACGACGACGACCAGAGTCAGTTTTACTGCCATATTGTGGCTTTCACAGTGCACAAGTTCACCTTCCACAGTTTCACTGCCATAAAGTGGCCTTCAAAAAGCACAAGTTCACCTTCCACAACTCACTACCAGGGGCAATTGAAAGCCATATTTTGAGCTTGTGAAAGCCACTGTGGTTGAGTGTTCATGATTTGAACTGCACTGTCATGAGGCATCACGATGGGGCTGGGGTGTATCTGGCAGTTTCGTGAAAGTCAAACTCACTCACACACAGTTTCACTAAACCTCGCTGCTGCAATCATTAGCAAACGAAGGTCGTTAAGGTCGTTTGCCAGGCACTCTCCATTGGAAAGCCAAAAAAGACACAGCGTTGAAACTGCACACAACATCTTGCAGAATCTTCATCCAAAAACCACATTCGCGCTAGTGCTCACATCCCATTCGGAGATTGCACACCGGTTTGTGGATTCAGTGGTCACGCATCACATGTTCCTTTGGACCACTGCACAATTGCCTGGAAGGTGAACTTGCGCACTGTGAAGGCCACTTGATGGCAGTGAAGCTGTGGAAGATGACTTTGTATGGCAGTGAAGCTGTGGAAGGTGAACTTGTGGAGGCCTTTGTGGCAGCGAGGCTGGCCACAAAATGGCTGTGAAGCTGTGGAAGGTGACTTTTTGAAGGCCTTTATGTGTAGTTGTGGAAGGTGAACTTGTGGAAGCCTTTGTGGCAGGCAGCAGGGAGTCCAAGGGTACATTGGCGGACATCAGCGAGACTCTGTCGGGGGAAACGGTTAAAGTGACCTCCCGCCCTGTCAAGGCCACACACCAGCCCAAACCTGGTAGTACATGAGGGCTGGCTTAGCAGGCAGTGACTTTGCTTCTTTGACTGCACTCCCGGCCGCCGCAGCTGCTCCACCTCCTGCCACTCGGGCGGCAGAGCCCACCCCACCAACTGAGCCTGGTGCTGCGGCAGCACCAGCTGGACCAGCTCCACCCGCCAATGCCAGTGGTGACGGTGTGCCTGCTAGGTGGCTTCGTTCCGACACTTTCAGAGTTCCACTTGCTGCGCCGGCGGCATCAAGAATTCTTAAGACCTCATGCTGTCCAATTTTCTGCAGTCGTAAAGCAGTGGAGTCCATCCCTTGGCTCGGCGCAATGACGCTTTGCAAAGCTTTATCGATTTGCGGCTCAAGCGCTTGGGCGAGCTGACAGTGGGCAACATAGAGCACGAGACGTTTTCTCTGTTGGTGAACAAATTCATTGCAGCATGCAATGTGAATCAGAACGGCAGCTTCCTTGTCAGCGATGTTGGCTGGATCAGTGTGCAAGGATTGGAGCCCCATGGCATCAGAATCTGGGTTCTCTGGAAAGTGGATGCCACTGTTTGGCATCGCATTAGCATCAGTTCGCAGGCTGCGGCCCAAGGTCTCCCTTAGAATTCTTCCAAGTTTGATTCGTCAGTCTTTGAGCGTCTTTTGGGGGATTTGGGCTACCACATGGAGCATGAAACGTTGGACCCTCGAGATTTTGGAATGCCACTTCGGCGGCCTCGCGCCTGGGACTGTATCATGAGGGCAGATATGAAGCTTGAAGCAACCTGTTGCTTTTGGACGCTAGTCCAGTCCTGCATGCACCGGAGGAAGAGGCGGGATCAGCGGCGCTACATCAACCATGAACATGTCTATGTATTGAAGTTTCACCTATTCCGAACTCGACTCTGAATCCCAGCCTCGGAGTTCACCCAGAATGACGGTACCGATGGACTGCACCTGCAGCACCTGTACGAGAGCATCACTGCAACTGGGTTCCAAACCTGCCCAGCAGCCGAGCGACCTGTTCCGATCGCTGCTGGAGCGACCAACCAGGTGGATCCGTTCATGCTCGCTGTTGACGCAGTTTTGGGCCAGTTGGCCCATGGCTCATCCTATGACGGCGTCCCGGAATTCTGGCTGGTTAACTTCCTGCTGGTGCAGGACCTTTCATCCAACCGCCTGATTCTGGCAACGCACAGCTCACTGCAGCTGGCCTCGGAGCAGGTGTGCTGCCTCTTTGAAGATCATGTCCGGCTTCACCGACACGGACCTAAGGCACACTGCCACCCATGGCATGGCTAGCGAAGAGCTCATCGGACCACACATTGGGCGGGTCCGACGGACACGCTTCTGGCGTGGTAGAGAAGACTCAACTCGCCGACGGGCTGCTGCCCGAATCGGCCTTTCATCGCTGGGTTCCGGCACTCAACGCGAACGCAGGCGGCGGGCAGCGCGTCAACACAGCTGGCGATCGCGAAGTCTTAAAGGTCATCCATCGGGTCCGACACCACGTTGACGCCCGCTTCTCGCTCTTCACCACGAGCGTTGCCCACCCCACCAAGGGATTTCCAGTATGGGCAGTCCAGTGGTGGAAATAACCACCTTGCGCAGCTTGTGACCTCAGGGTCTGCAGTAGCTGAGCCACTGAGTCAGAGCACTGAGCCAGAGTCAACTGTACTGTGTCAGAGTCTGTTCACAGTGAAGCAAGTCATTGCTAGTCCAACTGCAATTGAACAGAAAAAATTCATTTTTGAAATTGTGACACTGACTTTTTGAGAGTTAAGGCCGAGTCTAGACCCCTTAAGGTCTTTGGACGAAGGGGGGGGCTTAAGGGGGTGCTTAAGGGGTGGCTTAAGGGGGCTTCGCCGAAGGTCGAAGGTCTTCGGGCTTAAGGGTGGCTTAAGGGGGGTGAGCTTAAGGGGGGCTTCGCCGAAGGCTTGAGGTCTTCGGTCGAAGGGGTGCTTAAGGGGGGCTTAAGGGGTGGCTTAAGGGGGAGGCTTAAGGGGGTGGCTAAAGGGGGTGGCTTTAGGGTGGGCTTAAGGGGTGCTTAAAGGGATTCAAAGGGTGTGGTTTGGGGACAGGGACCTGCGGAGAGCGAACTGACGAGAGGATTTCGAGAAAGGAAACCTGATGGTACAAGAAACTGTCGGGGGCAAGTGGGGAAAGGGAACCAGGGAAAAGGAACTGGAAAGATGTGGTTTGGGGACAGGGACCTGCACGGGCCTAGAGCCTAAAGGCTAAAGGCCTAAAGGTGTCTAAAGTATAAATGTTACCATTGCGGAGCAGGTTTTCAAACACTCAGGGGTGGTGCTGAATGGCATTGATTCATTGAATATATCTAAATATATGAGTCAGTCTGAGCGCCAAGGGTTGAAACGAAAAAATTACTTTACTTCGAGTGATCCCCACCATGGCATTTCAAAACAACCACGTTGACATCAAACTTGTTGTGTATTTCAGCCCATAGCACAAGTCCTTCAGCGCCAAGTCTTACTGTTTTGTCCGAAGCGAATGCTTTCATCAGGAGACCTGCGCCCAACTAATAATACACCTCAGATCATTTCAGTAGTACTGGGTGGCCCAAGTAGTAGTACTACTATTTTTGTTATTCAGAAGGGGTGGCCATGGGGCCTGGGTTTGAGTTTTCCATAAATTTTAGGTAAATGCTAGATAAATGCATTGGTGCCACAGTCACGACTAAAAAACACTCATAAATATGCATAAAGGATCAAAAACACATAAGAAAAAGAAAAAATGGGAAAACAAAAAAAACAACAATTCTCAGAGACTCTTGGCTGGACCCCCCAAAATCAGAAAAACCAAAAAACCAAAAACCCTTGGGAAAACAAAAACACAAAAAAACAATTCTGGGGAAGTCTTGAGGAAAAGAGGGTCCAGGCAAGAGTCTCTCAGAATTGTTTTTTTGTTTTTTGTTTTTTCTGATCTTGGGGGGTCCAGCCAAGAGTCTCTGAGAATTGTTTTCTTTCGGTTTTCCCAAGATTTTTGTGTTTTAGCATCTGAGCTTACTTCTCATCTCAAGGCATCTGTTCTTTTTGCTTACATCTGAAACCGTCTGAGCTCAACACTTCCTGTGTCCTTGTCCACATCTCCATATACAAGTCTGAGTGCATTAACTGCTGACTGGTATCAATGCTGTTGCCAATTGCATGTCCAACCAGCTTGACATGAAACTGTAATGACACCTTCCAATTTACATGAAACTGTTATGAATCTGTGTAAGCTGTAGTTCCAATTCAATGCTTGTTGCATTTGCTTCGGCTTTGTAATTTCGAAGCCTCCTCGATTTGTGCATCTTGTAGCTCAAGCGTTTTACATCTTATTCTGGCGAACTTCTAATTTTAATTCCAATTCCTTTCTAATTCAACTCTCATCTAAGTTTAAATAGGTTATAGTTATAGTTCAATACAAGTTTATTTGAAATTCGGTTTTAATTCAGTTCTATCTTAGCTCTAACTCAAATCCAATTTAGCTCTATCTAATTCTATGATAGCTCTAGTCTATGTAGTTTAAGAAAACACATGCTGCAAAACCCCGTGTTTTACAGTATTTTTTGCCCTGGGAGTGCTGGGAACAAGACCAAAACTCTTTTTTTGAGTACATAGTTGGATTTATTGATTTACAGCATCACTGGAGATAATATAGACCTATTAAACATGTCTTATGTACAAGCTTCTAAGTCAAGAGCTTCCCTCTAGATCTCTGGGGATGATCATTTCTACAATAAAAATACATAAAAGCTTTCATTTCTCAAGCTTTCCTCTGGATCTCTGGAAATGGTCATGTCAATTTAAATATGCTATATATCAATAGATAAGTTGTTCTTTCAAGAGCTTTCCTTTCATAAAAACACACATAGATGGGATATCTACTTTCCCAGAGATCCAGACGACAGCTTTGAAAATGCAAGCTCTTACCCGGAGAAATCTAGAAGAAAGCTTTTAACATACAAGGTTTCTATATAGTTGTTTAAATCTAAAAACGATTATCTGCAAAGATCTATAGAGAATCTTTTATAACATAAAAGCGTCTATATACAATCTTTCCAAATCTAAACATAATTATAATACAAGCAGAGATCCAGAGGACAATTGTTAAAATAGACACTTTTATGGTCTGCTTCTTTCCTAATTATCTTGCTCAAAACCATCTGAATGACTGCTTGCTGCTTCCAAAACAATAAAATGACCCTGACTCAAGAATACATAATATATGTCTTCATATAGAGAGAGCAGGAATAGATTATATATATATATGTGTGTTTATATGGAGAGGGGCTGCCACTGAAGCATTTACCAAAAATTTTGGGAAAACCAAAACCCAGGCCCCATGACCACCCGCTCTCCAGAAGTTTATTAGTCGTAGTGGTAGTGGTAGTGGTAGTGGTAGTGGCTGTGTGTTTGTGGTTGTGTGTTTGTGGTTTCGTTGTTTGTGGTTGTGCTTGTGGTTGCGTCTTTGTCGTTGAGGCTGTGGTTGTGTATGCCATAGTGAGGAGCATGTTGCCATGGTCGTGAGTATTGTAGTTCTCGATTTTGCTTGTGGGTCCTCGGGTTGTGTGCTGTGGTTGTGTGTTGTGGTTGTGGTTGGTGCTGTGTTGTGGTTGTGGTTGTATTTGTGATTTGTGATTGCGTGTTTGTGGCTGTGTGTTTGTGATTGTGTGTTTGTGGATGTGTTTGCGGTTGTGTTTGTGGCTGTGTGTTTGTGATTGTGTTTGTGGTTGTGTTTGTGGCTGTGATTGTGTGTTTGTAGTTGTGGTTGTGGCTGTGGCTGTGTCTTTTTGATTGTGTGTTTGTGGTTGTGTGTTTGTGGTTGTGTGCTTGTGGTTGTGTGT